TTTCATGTGTCGGGGCCATCCAGTAGGGGATATCTATCCTTTGGCTGTCTGGCCCTCCAGAGGGGGGGCGAGCACATGAACCAGACAATATTTTCGAAGCGACATTGGATTTCTAATACTTTGACGCGTTCAAACCTGGTGCCCTGGGGGGCCCTCCTGCGGCCTCTTGGGGACGCCTCCTGCTGCGAAAGGGACCCACGTGTTCTTACGCTTTTTCCGCTCTGGGGCGAAATGGACCCATGTGCTTTCACGCGTGTCTTGGTCTGGCGCGTAAAAGGACCCACGTGTGTTCACGTTTTTTCCGCTCTGGCGCGAAAGAAGCCCACGTTTTTTCACATGTGTTCCGTTCTGGGGCGAAAAAGGGAACCCACGTGTTTTCAAGTATGTCCCGCTCAGGAGCGAAACGGGCCCACTTATTTTCACGCTTGTTCTGATCTGGCGCGAAAGGGACCCACGTGTTTTCACGCCTGTTCCAATCTGGCGCTGAAGCGACCCACGTGGAAGCCATTTCTTTATTGCTTGGGGCATGACCGGCGTCATGGCCCCCGCCCCCCCCCCTATGACGTAACGCTCCCCCCCCCAGTGCGCTCCGGGCACTGCCGCCGTGCGCATGGGGATCCGCGTAGGAATCCGCATAGGTGTCTGGTCCGCAGGCGTCGTCGTCGTCGTCGTCGTCGTCGTTCGTCGTCGTCGCTCCTGGTTCGTCGCTCGTCGCTCATCGTCGTCGTGCGCGCGGACGCGGCTGGAACCTATTTTTAAGTCCGCGCCGATGACGGCAATAATCTGGGGGGGAGGAGGTCGATGACGTCACGTTTCGCGCCGGCGGCGTTTGGGAATGGTTAGGAATGACGGAGGACGGGTAGCACGAACATGCAGGTGGCGATATGCACCACAACTTTTGCGTTTATCACAGCGCCCGCGTGCACCACAGCGCCTGTGTACACCACACCGCCGATGTACACCACAGCAGCCGCGCGCAATACAGCGTCAGTTTGTGCCACCGTGCTTGCGGGCACAGCAGCTCCTGTGTACACCACAGCGTCTCCGTATACCACACCAGCCGTGCGCAACACAGCACCAGTGTACACCGCAATGCCTGCGTGCATTGCAGTGCGTGTGTACGCCACGGCGCCTGTGTGCACCACATCAGCCGTGTGCAACACAGCACCATTGTTGTATATAGAATTTCAGAAGTAATCCTTGTGACAAAGTGGAGCGCGTGTGGATTCCAGAGAAAACAATGGAAAACAAATCCTCATGGACAAAGGAGCGCCGCTGGAATCTACGAGTCCCCGAGTCCGCCCGCATCACCCTAACTCCCACTTGCGTCCAGGAGGCTCCAGCTAAACTGGCCGTCCGAGAACCGAGTGGACCGATTCAATCGACCATTCTGCGGTGCACGCTGAAATGCGCACGTGCGTTGTAACGCCAAACCGCACGACAGGGGGTAAGAAGGAGGAAAAGGAGGACGAGGAAGAGGAGGAGGAGGTGGAGGAGGAGGGAAAAGGGAAAAACGTCGCATTCGATTATCCGAACTCTCCTGGCGTGGCGCTTAGTTGTCCGCATCAGATCCTGACGCACATGCTCTTTCTTCCTGTCCTATGCACGCAGGCACTGTGGTGTACACCAGCGCTGCGTTGCACGCGGATGCTGTGGTGTACACAGGCGCTGTGGCGTGCACGGGCGCCGCGGTGCACGCAAGCACTGTGGTGTACACACGCGTTGTGTTGCACATGGCTGCTGCGGTGTACGTACACCGGCGATGTAGTGCTCCCATGTATTGTGGTATACACGGGCGGTGCGTTGCACACGGTTGTTGCGGTGTACGCAGGCGCTGAGGTGCACGCGCGCGGCGTGGTGCACGCGAGCGTTGTGGTGTACACAGGCGCAATGGGCAGATCGCCACTTACATGCTGCTCGCGTCGTCGTCGTCGCTCGTCGCTCGTCGCTCGTCGCGTCGTGCGCGCGGGCGCGGCTGTGGTGCCGGAGCCACACGGGGGGGGGGGGCGTCACGTCATACCCCCCCCCCGCCCTCCCCCCCCCCCATGACGCCCGTCATCGCCGAACAGAAAGAAACGCCTTCGTGGTTTCATGCTTGTTCCGCTTTGGCGCGAAAGGGACCCACGTGCTTTCACGCGGTTCCCGGTCTGGCGCGGAAGCGACCCAGGTGTTTTGACGCTTGTGCTGCTCTGGCGCGAAAGGGACCTGTTTTCACGCCTGTTCCGCTCTGGAGCGAAATGGGCCCACGTGTGTTCACGTTTGTTCCACTCTTGGGCGACAGGGACCACGTGTTTTCACGTTTCTTTCGATCTGGGGCGAAAGGGACACTTGTTTTTACCCTTGTCCCGCTCTGGCGCGAAATGGACGCGTGTTTTCATGTTTGATCCGCTCTGGCGCGAAATTGACCCACGTGTTTTCACGCCTGGCGCGAAAGGGGTCCACGCGATTTCACGCTTGTTCCGCTCTGGCGCGAAAGGGGTCCACGCGGTTTCACGCTTGTTCCGCTCTGGGTCGAAAGGGACGCACGTGTTTTCACGTTGTTCCGCTCTTGGGCGAAAGAGGCCCACGGATTTTCACGCTTGATCCGCTCTCGGGCGAAAGGGGCCCATGTGGTTTCCCGTGTCGGGGCCATTCAGTGGGGGATACCTATTTGTGGTTATTTGGCCCTCAAGAGTGGGGGGGTCACAAGAACCAGAAAACATTAACGAAGCGACATTGGATGTTTAATACATTGACACGTTCCGTCGAGGGGCCCGGGGGAGGCTTCCTGTGGCCTCCTGGGGACGCCTCCTGCTGCGAAGTGGACCCACGTGTTCTCACGCTTGTTCCGTTCTGGCGCGAACGGGACCTACGTGCTTTCACGCGTGTACCGCTCTGACGGGAAAAGGGACCCACGTGTTTTCACGCTTGTTCCGCTTCGGCGCGAAAGGGACCCACGCGTTTTGCACGCGTTTTTTTGCTCTGGCGCGAAAGCGACCCAGGTGTTTTGACGCTTGTGCTGCTCTGTCGCGAAAGGGGCCCAGATGCTTTCACGCTTGTTCCGCTCAGGTTTGAAACAGGGACCCATGTGTTTTCCTGCTTGTTTTTCCCTGGCGCGAACGGAACCCGCTTGTGTTCCCGCTTGCTCCGTCCAGGGGCGAAAAAGACCTTCGTGTTACCACGATTGTTCCGCTCTGGCGCGAAAGGGGCCCACGTGTTTTCACGCTTGTCCACGTTGCCCAGTCGGATCTCGAACATGAGGATGTGTCGAAGACCTCTCGAGCGAAATGTTGGTTTTCGCGTGTCCAGGTCGCCCAGGCGGACCGTCACCACGAGTGCTTTGGGGGGGTGTCTAGACCGAAGCGCTCGTTCTTCGGGATTTGTCGGGCATGTCTCGAGCGCGGGCCTCGCCTGCAGCGAAAGCCTCCTTCTGCAGGATGTGTGTGTGTGTGTATGATGCCCCTCGCGAAACGAAGGTTTTTGTTGCACTGTTTGACGTGTCGTGCGAGGGCCTCGTCGTCGCCTGGGTTCGTTTCGGTTCGGGTTCGCCCCCCGATCGGTTCGTCCCACCACGGAATTGGACCAGATCTCTGAGTCCGAGCTGGTTGAGCGCCCCGCGTGTTACGACTGCGGCCAGCCTTTGGTGAACCATGCGCGTAGGCAGCATGAGCTCAAGATCCAGATCCGTTTGGATAGGATTAGGTTGCCAAGGATGGTTTGATCCACAACGCAACATAGAAGAGCACAGTTCAACACAGCATGACGCAGCACAGTGCAACCCAGTGCGTACCAATAACATTCTACGCCAATTCGCGGCCCTGTTTTTTTTGCGAGGGGCCCTGGCACCTCGGAGTGCGGCTCCCTCGTCAGGCTACGCCATGCAGTTTCAGGATGGTGAGCCGAAACGTATTCGTCTTGGTGTGTCTCGTTTCGGCTCGTGTCGGTTCGGCCTTCGTCTCGGTTCGTATCGTTTCTGTTCGTCTTGATGCAGTTCGTGGCGTTTCGGTTCGCCGAGCTTCGGTCCGTCCACTCTGTGCGTTTCGTGTCGGGTCGGAGTCGCCCCTTCCTTGGCTCGTCGCGTTGCGAAACTGAATCAGATCTCGAGTTCCAGTTGGTCGAGCGCCCCACGCGGTTCGATTGCGACCAGCTCGAGGTATGCATTCAGACAGCTCGGACTGAAGATCCAGATCAGTGCGATCAGGATTATGATGCCAAGAACGACCTGATCCACAACGCAATAGAGCACAGCACAGTTCAACTCGGCATGGCACATTTCATTGGGCCTCCTGTGCTAGCCCCCAGGGCTTGCGATACGGCCTCAGAGGCCCTCCAGATAGTTGTCCTGGGGGCCATCTGAGAACATGATGGAGGTTAGCACGCGCGGCCCAGCTCCTACAAGCCTCGTGACACATCCAACGACACGCTGCTCAAAATGGAAGCGCTCGATCGTCCTGAACCTGCCAGACGACGCGCTCTCCAACGCTGTGAGGGCACTGCCGGCTTTCGAACACCCCTCCGTCTTGGGCAATATCTCTCGTGCCATCCTTGCAGGAGCGCCGACCGCACAGGCACCGAACACGGTAACCGTCAGTTTATATCTGACGAACTTTGTAGGTCGGCATTCTGTCGTACAGTGGGGGCGCGTGCCAAGAAACCAGTTTGATTTTGCCAGGGTGCCCTGGGTTTCTTGGATTATGATGGGCTCCCAATCAGATCTTGACGATTTTTGATCGACACCTGTGGATTTTCATTGAACAAATCGCGTATTTCAGGGTTGGGTTTCTTGCGGAGGTTTCTTGTGGCCGAGTCCCCACTGTACTGGCCTTTTGAAAAGCATGTGCAAATTCGATTCGGATAGCTCGAAAGGACCTGAGGGCACAGTTCTTACGGCACGGCGGCGGTATGCGCACTGAGGAAACACGTGCCGACCGGGGCGACTCGGACCAATTGTTCGCAGGGCGCGCTAAGAATTCACAGGTTGCTCGTTCCTCGCAAGTCTACTGTTATGCTCCATTACAGACATGCAATGCCATTGTTACGAACTCGTCTTGGCTCAGGACCGTCGGACAGAAAGAAGTCATTTCCAGTGCTGCAGCGACACTTCTTTTGTAGTCCTACTCTCCAGCGGAAGCATGAGCGCTTCCGACAAGTCCAGTTTCTCTAAGGCGGTGGCGGACCTGCTCGTGGCGGGCGACACACGGTCCGCGGAGGCCATGCTCGACTCGACGTCGCAGCAGGGCCCGAGGCCGGGCGGGGCCAGGGCGAGGAGGGACCCGCTCCAGAGCGCTTTGGAACGCGCTCAGGAACGCGCTCCAGAGCGCTCTGAGAAGGCCGCGGCGCCCTGGACATTCTCCTGAGCCTCCAGATCCCAGAGATTTCTTGAGGAGGCCTCCCCCGATTTTGATTCGGCGGCGAGCGAGGGGGGAAGGCGAGAGGGAGAAGGCCTTCTCAGAAGGCTCGGAAGTCCCCCGGCCTTCTGAGAAGTTGTCCAACACCCCCCCCGGCGACAGCAAGCACTTCCTCGGAAGGCGCGAGGGCGTGTGAGAAGTCCCGCCGCCTTCTGGGAAGGCCTTCTCTTTCCGATTCCCCCCCCCCCCTCCCCTCCGCTCGCCGCCCATGGGTCCTCATGCTGGCCTCGTCTCGCGAGGGGCTCGCGCAACAAGGTGTTCTACCACTCCCTCATCAGCAGCTGCGCCCGGGCGGGCAGCCTGGACGGCGCGTGCTGGGCGTTCGGCCGCATGGCGCAGGCGGGGCGTCGAGAGGCTCGAGGATCGCGGCCTCGAGGCTCGAGAGGCTTCGAGGCTCGAGGCTTCGAGGCTCGAGGCTTCGAGGCTTTGAGGATCGCGGTTCGAGGCTTTTCCAGGCTCGAGGCTCGAGGCCGGACGCGCCTCCAGGGGCGGCCGCGCGGACGTCCGCCCGTGGGCTGCCCGCGCAGGGCCGCGGCGCAGGCGTGCCCTTTCTCTCCACGCGGCGTGCCGCGCCGGCGGCCTGCGCCGACTGCCCGCGGGAGGGCGCCGCGCCCTCCTGCGCAAGGCTTACGTCGGGCGTGTCCCTCTGCAGGAGGAATATTCGAGAATAGTAGAAAGCATCGTCTGGGGTAGTTTTTTTTATTTTTTTTATATGTGTGAGCATTTTTTGCGTATTTTTGTGACTTTTTTTTTTTTTTTTTTCATTTTTCGTTCAGAACCGGCCTGTAGGGGGACATGCCCGACTTCAATATAGCCAGGACCTCAGTGGGCCCTGGACACGACAGGGTCGTTTTTGTCACTGGTTCCGTTTGGCCGTTGTCGTTGCCAGTGCTGTCCCCGTTTTTGTTGCCGGTTCCTTCACCGTTTTTGGTTTCGGTTCTGGTTCCGGCTTCGATCCCGGGGCCGTTTTTTGCAGTTTCCAGTCGCCGTTGTTTTTGACCGTTTCCGATTTCAAGAGACATTATCGAAATCGGTGAAGCAGCGGCCTTGTCGTTTCTGGGGCCCATTAAGGCCAGGACCCCAGATAAGCAAAGGCGCCCTCGAGGGCTCGAAGTTATTCGCGCTTCGCGGTTCGGCTCCGATTCCTCCTCAGCCTCCTCCTTCTCTTCTCCCCTTGGGGGGCGGCGCGAAAGCGCGAAGCAATTCACGCTTCGGGCAGCGCGGAGCTCGAAGATGGGCGCCCGTGGGAGTCGGTTAGTGATTGGGCCCCGAAGCCCCCAAGATCGGCCAGAATCACCAACCCAGGTTCGCTGTAGTTGGTGTTTCTCGGGTGACGGCAGTTCCGGTTAAGCTCGGGGAAGGAGCTTATCATAGTTCTCCATTGAATACACCACCTCCCGCAGGCGACCCGCAGCCAAGCAGGAACAATGATAACCCTATGCGGGCCACCCCCCCCATCCCTGTCAAGAAGCAAAACAAATTACATTTTGGGGCAAAGTTCAGAGTCATATTCGTGAGACCACTCGCACTTTGTATTGTTCCCAACCATCCTGTGGTGCTGGGTCCTCGTTTTGAAGAGACGTCGCCCCGCGTTCCTCTCCTCCTCTCCTCCTCCTCCTCTCTTCCTCCTACCCCCTTCCTCTCTCCTCCCGTCATCATCGTCGTCGTCATCATCATCATCATCATCATCATCATCATCATCATCAGCATCAGCATCATCATCATCATCATCATCATCATCATCACGACCGTCATCATCACCAGCATCATCACCCATGTCGGCACACCCCTCACACGTTTCGTGGTCCCATAGGGAGTTCCACCGAAGGCCCCAGTGCCACCGCCTGCATGCGTCCCCTCACCCATTTCGGCACACCACTCACACGTCTCGTGGCCCCATAGGGAGCTCCACCGAAGGACCCAGTGCCACCGCCCGCATGCGTCCCCCTCCACACACGTCGACACACCCCTCAGAAATTTCGTTGCCCCATAGGGAGCTCCACCGAAGGCCCCAGTGCCACCGCCCGCATGCGTCCCCCACACGAATTTTGGCACGCCTCACACGTTTCGTGGCCCCATAGGGAGTTCCACCGAAGGCCCCAGTGCCACCGCCCGCATGCGTCCCCCACACCCAGTTCGGCACACCCCTCACACGTATCCTGGCCCCATATGGAGCTCCACCGAAGGCCCAGTGCCACCGCCCGCATGCGCCCCCCCCCTCCACACACAATTCGGCACACCCCTCAGAAATTTCGTGGCCCCATAGGGAGCTCCACCGAAGGCCTCAGTGCCACCGCCCGCATACGTCCCCCACGCGCATTTCGGCACACCCCTCACACTTATCCTGGCCCCATAGAGGGGCTCCACCGAAGGCGCCAATGCCACCGCCACCATGCGCCCGCCACACTCAAGGTTTCAGGGAACAGCTCCAGACCTCTGGGGCGAAGGAGAAGGCGGAGGAGGAGGACCCGCGCCGCGGACGACCCGCGCCGCGTCGCTGGGACCCTCCCTGGGCGACCAGCGCGAGCCGCGGGAACTCCGTGCTGCGTTCTTCCCTGCGCCTCGCTCGCCCGTCGTCGCTCTGCCCAGCGGTCAGAACCCTGCCCGCTATCAGCCAGCCAGCTAGCTAGCTAGCGCTCTTTGCTCCGCGCAGCGGACGACCCGCGCGCGTCGCTGGGACCCTTCCGGGGCGACCGGCGCGCGTCGCTGGGACTCCGCGCCCGCAGCTTTGGACTTTGGAGTAAACGGACAAAGAGGGAGGAAAGAAAGGGAAGGAAGCGGGCGCGATCCTCGTGAGGGGCGTGCCGACATGGGCGTCGCGGCGTGCGGGCGGCGTTGCCGCCGGGGTTCCCGCGGAAGCTTTCTGCGGCGGCCACGCCCAGTGTCACGAGTACACGCACAGGCATACCCGAGCCATTCACAGTCATATACATTTACACGAGGCGTAACCATGATCGCATTCGTGGAAATAGATTCGCTCGCGCGCAGATTCGTTCACACTTCGACTCACTCGCGCTCAGATTCACCCGCGCTCAGTCTCTCGGAATTCGACCCATCGTTTTCCTTCGTGTTGTGTACCCCGCCACATTGCGGCACGCCCCTCATACGGTTCGTGGGCGCCACCGAAGACGACATTCACAATCACAACTGCATATGGTTGGGTCCTTCGCCAGGATATTTTTTGACAGGGGCGGCGGGGGTGTCATCATATTGCCTGCTTCGCGCAGGGCCACCGTCACTGACAAAAACAATACACAATGCACCTCGCGGCTAAATCTGGATCGTGCGCGGCCGCCCCGCGATCACTGTCAAGTGGTGGCGTATGGCCTGCTGTGCGCAGGCCTACCAGACACAATGATGGGCACTGGTCTTCGACATGGGTGGGGGCCGACATGTTTCCCGATGTGTGCTGCCACGTGCACAGGCGCACCTGACACACTCTGCCCGTGCCCCAAACATGGCGCACCTGGCTCGGCTGGAGTATGCGGCATACCTGGCGCACGCGGAGGTATGTGACGCATTTGGCACACCAGACGTTCGTGGCACGCTCGGGCCCCAGGAGTACCTGACGCGCGTGGCGCCCTTGGTACGTGTGGCGCACCTCGCCCCATCGTCGCGCACATGTGTTCGGTTGGGGCTCCCCGTAGCTGACCATCCAAAGTCGATCGCAGATCATGCATATGCTCGGGTGTTACTTATGTGTAGGGAGGGCGGGTGGGAGTGAACTTGACGGCTTGCTATCTAGGACTATGTATTGCACCCCCTCCCCCACCCAGCCGGCGTCCAACCAGAAAAACCATGCCGACACCATGAGGGCCCGCCACCACCATCGATGCCATAAAACAATACAAGCCGCACTTTGTCCCCACATTTGGAGCATGCGCGGCCAACCCGATGCGGCCCCCACCCACCGCCCCTGCCGAAAAACAATGCAAAGTACACGGTGGGTAAAGTTTTGAATCATGTTGGTGAGGCCCGCGAACAGTGTGTATTTTTTTGTGAAAAGGGACGGCGGGGGTGCCAGCATATCCCCTGCCGTGCGCAGGGCTACCATCCCTGACAACACACAATACAACATGCACCTCGCGGCTAAATTCGGATCGTGCGCGGCCATCCCACGATCACTGTCAAATGGTTTTTGACAGGGGAGGCGGGGGTGGTGGCGCGTGGCCTGCTGCGCGCAGGCCCACCAGACACAATGATGGGCAGTGGTCTTCGACATTGATGGCGGGGTCGACATGGTTCCCGATGTGCGTTGTCACGTGCACAGGCGCACCTGACGCACTCTGCACGTGCCCCAAACATGGCGCACCCGGCGCGGCTGGAGTGTGCGGCACACTTGGCGCAATCGGAGGCACGTGGCGCATCGGGCGCACCATGCGTGCCTGCCACGCTCGGGCCCCAGGGGTGCCTGGCGCGCGTGGCGCCCTTGGCACGCGTGGCCCTGGCCGCGCACCTGGGGTCGGCTTTGGTTCCCAGTAGTTGACCATCCAAAGACGACCGCTGAACATGCTCTGGCTCGGGTGTTACTTATGTGTTGGGAGGGCGGGTGGGAATGAGATAGACGGCTTGCGGGCGGATAGTTTGACCCCTAACCCTACCCCCTCCCCTGGGCCTGGAGGGGGGGGGGGCGAGCCGGTAGAGCGCCCGTGATGGCACAGGACGATTCCAAGAGGGCCCAAGACAACCTAAGACGGTTTCCACGATGTCTCACGATACGCTAAAATCGCTCAAAATAGCTTCCAGCGTGCCTCCAATATGACCCAAGGCAACCCCAAAACGGTTCCTAGTGCTATTCCAGCCTCACAGCGCACGCCAAGAGGCCGACTTTCTTGAAACACCAAAGGGAGTTGTTTGGCTTTCCGCTGTTTCGTTTCCGATGAGCATCTTGGCCCTCAGGATGGCCCCCGGATGGCCCAAGACTGGGCCGAGACGGCCCCACGACGGCTCCAAGCGCGCCCAAGACGCGCCCAAGAGCGGCCCAAGAGGCCCCCTATCTTGAAGCCTCCCGGGGAGGGCCTAAATAGATTCCCCCCCTTCTTTGATTCAAATGGGGCGCCCAGCACCGTCGGGGAGGCGCCCAGTATCACCAGGGAGGTCCTCAGGAGGCCCCTGGGATGCCCCCACGAGAGAGCGAAGAGGCTCCAAAAGGCTCCTCCGAGGCATCAAAGACGCCTCCAGGGGCCCCATCGACCACCAAGAACTCGCGTTCTTCTCCTCTTCTCCTCCGTCTGTTCTCTCCTCTCCTCTCCTCTCCTCCTCCTCCTCCTCCTCCTCTTCCTCGTCCTCCTCCTCCTCCTCCTCCTCCTCCTCCTCCTCCTCCTCCCCCTCCCCCTCCTCTCTCATCTGGGGCATTCTGAATGTGTGTTCTAAGCACGCTTGGACAAGCTTTGGCAACGAGTGACATTCAAATCCAGGGCCGCATGCAACCTCCTCCTTTCCCCCTTCTCCTCCTCCTCCTCCTCCTCCTCCTCCTCCTCCTCCTCCTCCTCCCCTTTCTCCTCCTTTCACAATTGGGGGAAACACGATCTGATGATTCTATAGGCTTACGCCACATCGGCCGACCCCTTTTTTTCATCAGGGGCTATCGCCGGGTCTCGGGAGCTCTCTCGGAGGCTTTGCAGGGCGGCCTAGGGGCATCGTGGGTTGTTTGGATGCCATCTTGGGCGTCTTGGAACGGTTGTTCGACGAGTCGGGGTTATCTTAGACTGTCTTGGGGGCTTTCTTGGGAGGCCTCCGGGGTTGTCCATCGTGGCTGCCAGCCGTGGGCACCGCGGCTGCCGCCCATTCCGCCATGCGTTGTGTTGGGCTTTGCTTGACCAGGCGATGTGGTAGAAAGGGAGAGGAGGAGTAGAAGGAGGAGGATGCGATGGAGGAAGAGGAGAAGAAGGATGTCAAGAAAACGGAATTCGGCGATTTTGGCATCTTAGTGTTTCCTGAGAGGCGTACTGAGGGGCCTTTTGGGATGTCTTGACGGATTCTTGGTGCCTTCGGCCGTTCCCTTGGCCCCTCTTGGGGGCCTCCGGGGGCGGAAGGCTCGGATTTTCAGTTCGGGCTCCCCTTCTTGGGCCCCTCCGCCTGGGGGCCCTCTTGGGAGCCTCTTGGAGCGATCTTGGCGGCCTCGTGGGCCATTGTCAACGCTGTGTTGGCCGAAAAGGCGTATATGCCAAACTTGTACGTCTTCCTATAGGAATTGCCCGATTTTGGCCTCTGGGGCCCCGCTTCGGCAGCCGGTTGGAGGCCTCGTGGACCGTCGTGGCGCCCTCTTAGGCCGCTTGGGGCCCACCTTGGGCGTCTTGAAGCGACGGCGACTTTGTGCTTTCTTGGGCCATCTTGGGGGTGGCGTCGGAGGCTCCCAACCGAGCCCGGGGAGCCCAGACCGCCTCGGGTGAGTTCGGCGGAGTCGTCCACCACGAGGGGGGGGGTCAAATTGCCGGTTTGGGTTCCTGGGGGGGGGTTATGGTGGGGGAGCAATCTCACACGCCTAGAGACCCGCAACGCAAGGGGCCGGCGGATTTTCTAAACCCGTTCGAAAAATTTCAGGAGGGGAAGAAACACACAGACACAATCAATCGTCGATCCCCCGGAAAATATTGGAAAATATGCGAAGTGGGGGGAAAGACAAAATCCCAGAAAATGTAGGAAAATATTGGGAATCTGTTTATTTGTGTGTATTTGTTCGTGTGTTTGTGGGCCCCTTCAAAATGCATTGGCACCATGGTGGTGCAGAAGCCCCTCCCCGGTGACATCACCGCGGCAGGTCAGCAGCTGCCGAAGAGGGCCCCAGGACGGCCCCCAGTGAGACAGAACGGCGGCAGGTCGACCTGATCAACTCAGGAGGGGAAAAAACACACTGACACAATTAATCGTCGATTCCCAAGAAAATATAGGAAAATATGGGAATTGGGGAGGGAGGACAAAAACCCAGAAAATATGGGAAAATATGGGGAACCTCTTTATTTGTGTGTATTTATTTGTGTGTCCCAGGGCCCCTTCATCAACGTATTTTTGGACGGCTCATACCGTAGATTTTCCCGCCCTCCCCGCACCCCCGAAAAAGGCGTCCAAGGCGGCCGTCGCACGGTATGCTTCGACGCTGCCCTCATCCAGGCAAAGCACCGGGCGATCGTGTCTGGATGGGCTGGTGGGGATGCGAGAAGCGTCAAGCATGGGCCAGAATCACAAACCCAGGTCTGCCGCAGTTGGTGTTTTTCGGGTGACGGCAGCTCTGGTTAGTGGGATGGGGGGGGGCGCCCCCCGGTACACATCAGTAAACCAGGCCCCACTAAGCCCAGTCCTGCCAACGCCCGAGTACTGCCGATTCCCCAGGCCTCCAGCGCACTGCGCAGGTCAACAGGGAGGCGTTGGGTAGTTTTTGGGCTTTGGGGGCCCTCGCAGGGCCTCGGGGCCATCGCAGATCGAGCCCGCTCGGGAGATGCAGCAGAAAAATCGGATCCAGGTCTCCTGTGGTGATTTTTCGCAAGGTTGTTTTTTCCATCCGATTCGCCATATCAAATCTGAAGAAGGTGCTTGACGATCTTCTGCCTCTGAGCCCTCGCTGGGCCCCAAGCCCATCAGAAAACAGCAACAGATGCAGAGTTGGCCCTCGGGAGAGGGTCGGACATTCAGGGACCGCGCATCGAAGAAAACCAAAACATCGGGCCTCTGGGATCTTTTTCGCCCCTCAGGTGGGTCTGCAGCCGAATGTCGTCACCTTCAACTCCGTGATCGACGCCTGTGCGAAGGCGGCGGACCCGCGGCGAGCCGTCGTCTGGTTCGACCATATGGTGCAGGCCGGCGTGCAGCCGAACGCCATCACGTACAACACCATCATAAACGCGTGTGCGCGCGGCCGCGACATCCCTGGCGCGGAGGCGTGGTTCCAGAGGATGACTGACGCTGGCGTCGAGCCCGGCATCATGTCGTTCAGCACCATCATCGACGCGTATGCGAAGTCAGGCGAGATGAGCAGGGCGGAGGAGTGGTTTGAGGAAATGTTGAAGTATGGCGTGCGCCCAGACGCAGTTACCTTCAACGCTCTCATCAACGCGTGCGCGAAAGTGCCAGATGCAAGCAACGCAGAGCATTGGCTCATGCAGATGCGCGAGGCGAACTTGAGTCCCGACGAGAAGACCTACAACAGCATCATCAACGCGTGCGCCAAGCAAGGCCTCGTGGATCGGGCCGAGCACTGGTTTGGTCAGGTGCAGAGGGCTGGCTGCAAAGTGGACACTTTTGGATACGCAGCTGTCATCCACGCCAGCGCCAAGGTCGGTGACTTGGCTCGGGCGGTGTACTGGTTCGAGGAAATGCAGAGCTACGGGCTCCATCCGAATCTTGTGTGCTTCAACACGATGCTGAATGCGTGCGTGCATAAGGGCGACCCAAAGGCAGCCGATGCGTGGTTCCAGAAGCTGGAGTCCCGTGGGATCCAGCCGAACAGCATCACGTTCAACAGCATGATCAGCGCTTCCACGAAGAGCGGGGACCTGCTGCGGGTGAAGTACTGGTTGTGGAGGATGCTCTGCACCGGAAACCATCCGGACAGCCAGACGTTCTGCACCCTCACCCGTGCCTTCGATGCGCCCGACCAGGCCCCCGCCCAGAGCCAAGTCTTGGCCTGCGACGCGATCATCGAGGCATACGGAAAGGTGCACGGCAAGAACGGGATCGCCGCGGGCGCCAGGAGTCGGGACGATCGAAGTGGGTACGGAAAGAACGGGTACAATGCCGAACAACAGCTCCTGTTCCTTTTAGCCCAACAGCGACCGTTGCCAGTTTTGGACCACATTTTATGCTCGGCTCTGTACCCATTGTTCCCCGCCTGCCAAGCATCGAGCGCCGTCGGTTTTGGACAACATTGTCGGGCATTGCATTGTACCCATTTGTTTCAACAAAAATCGGCGCCTGCGGTGGGCTCGATGTATAAGTTGTGAAACTTTGGCGCCTGCGGCGGGCTTCTCCAGAGTCTCGCAAACTGCCGACGTCCCCACCGCCCCCTCACTCTGATCCGCATTTGCGGGGTGCTGCGTACCCCTTTTGGGCGTCCAGACAGGAGTGTCAGTGCAGACATCGACACTCGGACGCTTTCTCGGGGGCCTGCCTGCCCAGCAGCGACCGCTGTCGGCTTTGCATGCCCATTTCTCCCGTACCGCTTGCGGGCGTGAGCTCAGGAGTCGAGATACAGACGTCGGCATTCAGATACTTCCTCGGGGGCCCGCGCGGTTTCCTCGGGTCGGCGCTGCCCCCCCCACCCCACCCGCGGCGCCCCCCGCGACGCTCCCGGCGGGCTCCGCGCGCCAGGGAGGTGGGGCCAGCGCCGATCCAAGCAGTCCGCGCGGACCTCCGAGGAATTTCGCGAGTGTTCTTCTCTGCTCCTCCTGGCCTGTGGGAGCGAAGGATGGCATAAACATACGAACTCGGAGGTCCGCGCGGATTTCTCGGATCGGCGCTGAAGCCCCCTGGTGGCGCCTCCAGCGCCGCCCTTGGCGCGCTCCGCGCGCCAGGGAGGGGGGCCCAGCGTTAAGTCGGGCCTATCCATTCCACAGGAGGAATATTGAAGAGTAGGCAAAAAATCGTCAGGGGATTTTTTTTCAAACAATTGTGTTGACAAGGTTTGATTATTTTAGTGTTCGTTTCGTCGAACATCCGCCTGTAGGGGGACAGGCCCGACCTAAGCACAGCGCCGATCCGAGAAATCCGCGCGGGCCTCCGAGTTTTTTATGTTGATGTCATTGCTTGCGCCCCTAATTACGTGTGTGCAGTGCCTTCCTCCCCTTGGCATCGCTCGGACGCATGCACTCTGCGCGGTGAGGCAAGCGCCAGAGATTCTGGACCACCTCGGAGCCTCCTGGACCCTCTTGCGAACAGGAAATGAAGCAAAAGCACGCACGAGACCAAACAGCGCACGGGGAGTGGACGTCCGAGCGCTGGCAAGTCCGCGGAGGAGCTGGCTCGACCGCCGCGCCAAGGCGAGCCTGGCGAGCCGCCAGGCCCCCGCCGCGCCGCAGGCCCCGCGGCCAGAATCTGCTGGCCGACCCCCGCGTCCGCCCGCGCGCCGCCGGGGGCGCAGAGCACGATGGGCCTGTTCTCCACCACCACCACCACCAGAAGTTGGAGGGGGAAAAGGAGGAGGACGAGGAGGAGGGAGAAGAGGAAGGGATGAGGGCCCCCTCTCCCTCCTACGTATTTGGTGGTGGCGGTGGTGGTGGGAAGCACGCCCCCCAGAGCAGCGCCAAGAGCGGTGGGTTCGCGTCGTGTCGGCCGGCGGTGGCACCCGCCGCCGGCGTTCCACGCTGGACGCCGCTGGCGACCCAGAATCGGGCGACGTGGAAGGATATAGCTCAGGAGGGGGAGAGACACACAGACACAATTCATCGTCGATTTCCCCGAAAATATGGGAAAATATGGGAAGTGGGGGGGGGGAAGACAAAAACCCAGAGAATATGGGACAATATGGGGGAATCCTTTTATTTGTGTGTATTTATGTGTGAGTGTGTGTCCCAGTTTCCCTTAAATAGCGTGCTGTTTCGGAAACGGCCGATCGCGTCGAGCGCCGAAGTCGGCACGACGCGAGCCTGCCGTAGATGCTCGTCTCGGGTACCCTCCTGGGGCCTCAAGTTCGACGTAAGTTCGACCCAAGTTCGACCCAAGTCGACGGCCGTTCGACGCGGCATCGACTCAGGAGTGGAGCGAGCGGCTCGTAGAAGATCCTCAGGACGAGCATCTAAGCCCCGGGGTCCTGGGAACAATATGGACGTCCGTTTCTTACCATTGCCGCTGCTCCGTTTCCTGTTACCGCCGCCGGCGCTGTTTGTGGAGACGTCTTCGGCGCCGTTTTTGTACCGTTTTCGTGTTTCCATGTTGGGGGTTTGATCTGGATCATGTTTTGCCGCCAGATCCGAGCCGCTTTCGAACTTGTTCGGAACCTCCTGCGGATCCCCAGGCTGCCCAGGCCTCTCCGGTGCACTTCTCTTTGGCCGCTCCCGTGATCATCAGGCAGTTCTGTCGAAAACTGTAAACACAGCCCTGCTACTGTCAGGACCCAGTCCGGCCACGCGCCAAGGGGAATAGGGGGAGGTGGGAAGGCCTCTTAGAAGCACCCCTGCTTCTCAGAAGGCGCGGGCCTTGTCAGTACATGCCCGTCGACTTCTAAGAGGCAGGCTCCTTCTAGAAAGCCTTCCCCCCTCCCCCCCAACCCCCCTTTGCGCCCGTCGCTAACCACTCAGGCCCACCCCGCGCCGACGCGGGTCTGCCCCGTGAGGCCGGCCCAGACCTCTCTCGCGCCGCCGCCCGGCCGCTTCGGGCTGCCGGCGCAGCCCCGCTTGACATCTCGAGGAAGAAAAAACAACATAAACATAAGTTGTTGGCGCTCCGCGCGGATTTCTTGGACCCGCGCTGGGCCCCCCCGGCCGCGCCTGCGGCGCCGCGGCTGGCGAGGTCAGCGCGCAAGAGAGGGGGGTCTGGCGCAGATCCAAGACATCCGCGCGGACCTCCAAAAGTTTATGTTTATGCAGTTGTTTCTTCCTCCAGCATCGCCGCCGGGCTGCTTCGAGACCCCGCCGAGCTTCCGCGCGCAAGCGGAGCACCCCGCGCTGAAGGAGGTCGCGGCCAGGACGAAGGCCGTCGGGGGCCGCCAACCGACCCTGACCTCCAGCGTGTGAAAGGATGGTTACGCAGTTTGCGGACGGTTTGCGTCCCTGGCCAGGGGCACTGGTCGCCGCCGCCGCCTCCTTATTATTCTCATCACACTTATCATCCGTATCATCATCATCATCATCATCATCATCATCATCATCATCATCATCATCATCATCATCATCATCATCATCATCATCATCATTATCATCATCATCATCATCATCATCATCATCATCATCTGCATCTTCATCTTCATCTTCATCTTCATCTTCATCTTCATCTTCATCTTCATCTCCATCTCCATCTCCATCTTCATCTTCATCTTCATCTCCATCTCCATCTCCATCTCCATCTTCATCTTCATCTTCATTTTCATCATCATCTTCATCTTCAGCAGCAGCATCATCGTCATCATCACCATCATCATCATCCTCATCCTCGTCTCCATCCTCATCGTCGTCCTCGTCCTCCTCCTCCTCCTCCTCCTCCTCCTCCTCCTCATCATCATCATCATCATCATCATCATCATCGTCATCGTCATCGTCATCGTAATCATCATCATTGTCATCATCAGCATCGTCCTCATCCCCATCATCAATCTCCTCAGCAGCGGTCCTGGATTTTCCTGCGGACGGTCCTCATGAGGCGGGCCTCGAATTTCGCCGACCGCTCTCGGGTCCCGGCTTGCTCGCCACGCGAGTCCAGCGATCCGATGCACTGATTTTTCAGCACGGGGCCCCCAGACGTCTCGATCTGTTCCCCAACAGAGCCAAGATTTCATCCAGGGCCGTTTTTGTTGACGGTCCCAGGGCCCAGCGAGGCATCCCCAGAGGCGAACATGATCAAACAATTGATGCATATTCGATGTTGCGAAGCATTGAAATAGTTTCAACATTGCGGAAATCGCGACGGGAGTCCTACACCCAATTTTTGTATTTTCCGAGCCGCGATTGCCCCAGGGCCCGAAATTGGGCGAAAAAACGCATGGTGTTAACACATGTCGACGGCTGGATCTGAGGGGTCGCTGCCATCCCGCAGAACACAGTCCAGCCCCCTCCCAGCCTGTCACTACCATGATACGCTCCAAGAGTTCCACGATCTTTCAAGATTTCTAGGTATGTCCCACACGGGTTGCAGAAAAGGGCCGCCAGACTTTCCGGAGTTCTTGGAACGCATCCCGAGCCAAGCACACCTTGACATCGATCTCGTCCTGGTAGGGCAGTTCTGAGCCTCCCGCGAGGCCGTCCGGCCACCGCCTGTCCTCGGCCACGCGCAGGGGGTGATAGGGGGAGGGGGAAGGCTTCTTAGACGCACCCCTGCTTCTGAGAACGAGCGGGCATCCCTGCAGATGTGTGGCTGGTGCCTTCTAAGAAGCAGCCTCCTTCTGAGAGGCCCTCCCCCCTCCCCCCCTACCCCCCCCTTTGGAGCGCTCCGCCCGTGCCCAGCCCTGCGCGGGGCTCGGAACGTGCCTGTCTGGGCAGCTTCTGCGCCCCGGCCGAGGCGGTCCAGCCCCCGCCCGGCCTCGCGCCCCCGCCCGGCCTCTCGCCGCCCTCCACCGCGCCGTCCACGCCGCGCACCTGCGGCGCGGGCAGCAGCAGCTACGGCGGCAGCGGCAGCTCGGGGTCGGCGGAGTGGTCCGAGCGTGCGCCGGCCGCCGACCGCTGGGAGGACATGCTCTCGAAGGCCCTCGCCGGGGGCCTGGGAGTCTCCAGCCACGCGCAGAGGGGGGTGGGGGGAGGGGGGGAGGGCTTCTTAGAAGCACCCCTGCTTCTTAGAAGGCGCGGGCCTTCTCTATAGATGTAAGGCCGGCGCCTCCCAAGAAGCAGCCTCCTTCTTAGAAGCCCTCCCCCCTCCCCCCACCCCCTTGTGCGCGCCGCCAAAGTCTGACGACGTGTTCTTTCTTTGTCGGTCCGGGCGTGGGCTCCTCGATTTCGGTCGCCGGGGCCCGCTGTCGGGCCCGGGGCCAGCAGCAGTGGACTCTTGGGCGAAGGGGTCTACGCCTGGGGAAGGGGTCGGGGCCTTTGGGGCCGCGGGAGAAGGATGATTAGCACATCGGCGGATGTCTGGGGGTGCATGTCTCATGAGCCCTCCTGGGCAGTCCTGGGGCGCTATTGGGGGCTTCTTGGGCCCTTTTAAGCCGTAGAAGCTGCTTTAAACATGATGCGGCCCACAGCCCTCAACGATCTGACGAACCTCAATGCGTTTGGCCTCTCAGGGCCCTCTTGGGGGGTTGCTCTTGGGGTCCCTTGGAAGCTTCTTTGGGGCTTCCTCGGTCGTCTTTAAGCCTTCTTGAGGATCCGGGGGCGATCTCGAGGCGACTCGACTCTCGTGGGCCGTCTTCGCGGCCTCGTCGGCCCCTCTTGGGCCCCTCTTGGACCCCTCTCGGGACCCTCGTGGCTGACGCGCGCGACCAGGAGGCACACCCGACACGCTCCCAAGAGCTCCCAGGAGCTCCCTGGCCCGCCCATGGAGCGCCGAAGAGAGTGGATGCCCCAAGGGCGCCCTCGAGGGCGCGAAGTTATTCGCGCTTCGCGGTTCGGCTCCGATCCTTCGTCCTCCTCTTCTCCCCTGGGAGGCGGCGCGAGAGCGCGAAGTTATTCGCGCTTCGCGCAGCGCGAAGCGCGACAGTGGGAGCCCTTGATGCCCGGGCCTTCAAGAGTCTAGGGTTCTGGTTGCGCGACGGTTGCGGAGCCTCCATTTCCTGCTGTGTTCACCGATCCCACCTGGTGTTCGGATGGTTTTCGGTGTTCAGAATCCTGGTTGGAACAGGGGGCGCTTCTGGTCTAGAGCCATGGCTCCAGCAGCAGCACAGCTGTGGGCCTCGGGGCACTCCGCCTCTGTGCCAAGGGCGGATCCGTGTCCTGGGAGGCAGGGGATCCAGGGGTCGAGGAGCGGGGTTCGAGAGTCGAGGCTCGAGGCTCGAGAGGTCGGAGATCGAAGGATCGAGGATCGAGGTGTGCCAGGATCCAGGGCTGGGTGCCCGCCGACCCGGGGAGCCGTGCCACGCGAGGGAGCCGTGCCCGTGTGTGTGTGTGTGTGTGTGCGTGCGTGTGTGTGTGTGTGTGTGCGTGCGTGCGTGTGTGTGTGTGTGTGTGTTGTGTGTGTGTTGTGTGTGTTGTGTGTGTTGTGTGTGTTGTGTGTGTTGTGTGTGTGTTGTGTGTGTTGTGTGTGTTGTGTGTTGT